TCCTCCTCTTCCTCCTCCCTCCTCCCTCGTCCTTCCTCCCTGGACCTATCCTGGGGCTCGTCCTGGCCAGGATCCAGGGGCACGTGCAGCCGGGGCGACGAAGGCCTCCCAGGAGGCTTACCCAAGGCGAAACTGTGGGAAGGGCAGCGGTACGGTGGAAACCAGTCGACAGGGAACACTTCCACAAGAAGCCCAACCCTGAGACCCCAGAGCGTCCATCGATTTTTGGTGCGGAAGCGTCGCGCTGTCCACAGGAAAACCATCGAAACCCAAGAAACTGTGGGAAGGGTAGTGGTACGGTGGAGGCCAGTCGACAAGGAACCCCTCCACAAGAAACCCCAACCGTGAGACCCCAGAGCGTCCATTGACTTTTGGTGCGGAAGCGTCGCGCTTTCCGCAGGGAAACCATCGAAACCCAAGAAACTCGGGGCACCCTGAAAACAGGCAGAGCGTGTCTTGGCATGGGCCCCCCCTGTATGGTTACGTTCTTCCTTTCCCGACCCTGGCTGCCCTCACCCGGACATCGCGGCCGGGTGAGGGCAGCCAAGAGGCCCCCAAGACAGCCCCAAGAGGGTTCCAAGACGGCCCAAGAGACCCTCAAAACGCCCAAGATGGCCTCTACGACGGCCCTGGAGCACCCCAAGAGGGCCCCAAGTCGGCCCAGGAAGGCCCCCTTCACGGCTTCCCACGGCGTCAGACGGGCCAGGAGCCCACCAAGGTGGCCGAAGTTGGCTCGAAGGCCCGAGAAGGCCAAAAACAATCATTATCCGTGAGTGTTTGAAGGATTGTGGCATTTGCTGTTTTTGCCCGGCCTTCCGACGGCCCGAGACAGCCCAAGAGCTCCCAAAGATCGCCCAAAGATCTCCCCAAATGCCTCCAAAATGGCCCCAGAACGGCCCAAGAGGCCCCCAGGACGGTCCCAAGAGGCCCCCAAGACGGGCCAAGGGGCTTTTAAGACGCCCAAGATGGCCTCCAAGACGGCCCTGGAGCATTCCAAGAGGGCCCCAAGTCGGTTCAGAGAGGCCCCCCAAACGGCTTCCGACGGCGTTCGGTGCTGTTCTCCAGGTTGATGTAGAAAATCTTGCCGATGGGATGCTGCAGTGCCTCGGAGCGCCAGCTCGCAAAAACGGCCCGTCGAGGGCACTTGGCGTCACCAGGCTTTCAAAAATGTCACCGGGAAGAGAAGGAAATGGCACGGTGGAGCCTGTGAGTGAAGTGTGAGGGAGTCTCAGGCGGGAGCCTCCTCCCTATGGGGCCCGCGATTCGTGTTACCAATCCGTGCGGGTCATCCGATCCCTGCACCTGCAACTGATAGAGAATCCCAGGGAGCAGGCACGCTCAGGAGTGAACCCCGATCGGTCCCAAGGCAGCTTGGCCGAGCACAGGACCATTCGGGCCACTGGTGAGAACCACTACAGCAGGGCCAGGGGCCAGCTAGGGTCTGCAAGCTACGCTCCCCAACGCAGCGAGGCAGATGGCATTGCTGGTCGGCGCACTTGGGTCCAAAGGCAGGGAGTGCGCGGACCAGGGAGAGTGGGCAGCCTGGCTGCCGCGCGGTTGTGAAAGAAAGCAAGGCAGCTGAAGGCTGCACGTCGTATGTAATGAGATTTGTTCTGGATATATAGAAGCTGGAAGTATGGGGAGTGGACTCAGTCTCTCCATCTGTGTCTCTTCTCGTCTCGGTCGTCGGGTCTGCCTCCCCCCCGCTTGCCGCCCGTCTGCCAGCGATCGCCACGCCAGCCTTCACTCCAGTCGCTCTGCCAGCTACTCCAAGTGTCCCAGGAGCTTGTAGCACGGTCTCGCCAGCTGCTCTGCTGGAGGCTGCCTTTGCCCCTGCCGTCGGGTCGGGTGTGTCGCAGGTAGTCGGCCCGCAGTTTGCCCCAGTCAATGTGGTAGCCGTACCTCGTGTCCAACAGGTATGCGTTGTACCCGCAGCCTTTCCAGTCATCAATGAAATTGTTGATGGTCGCTTCCGTGTGCAGTCTCGGGTCTGATTTGGGCTCCCTGGATCCAGGGAACCAAATGCGCTGCGCGCGCGCAGTCCACAGCGCGCAGAAGACTGCACCCAACTCGGGCTGGTACCTGGCGAGGCGTCTGGCGGGTGTCTCGTCGTTACGCTCCAGGCCCACCGTGCCCAGCCAGACCTTGTACATGGGTCCCCCATGTGAGTCGGTCAACAGGTTGAGCGTGTCGCTCCTGCCTTCCTTCTCCTCCTCCTGCTCCTCCTCCTCCTTCCCTTTGCCTCCTGCATTTTCCAGCCATCCTGGTTCCATTCTGATCCTCCCTTATCCTTGCTCTCCCTGTCCTCGTGCTCCCCTCCTCCACCTCCTCCACGTCCTCCTCAACAACCTCCTCCTCCTCCTCCTTCTCCTGCTCTTCTTCCTGCCCAGACTACATTGCTCACCACACGGCAAAGCCATGCCGTGCAACAACGGGGCCGCACCAGATGAACACAACAGTCGGAAGAAGGCTCCCTCATCTTCCTCCACGAATCCTGTGTCCTGGGTGTCCCCGATCCAACGAATTCTCAAACCAAAGCCGACCCACGCTGCCCTCACAGCCGCTACCTCGGCCCGACACCCCCACCCCCTCAGAGATTCTTTGGGATCCCTGAAGGTTCCCATGGCGTGCAGCAGATTCTGCCTGCATGTTCCGGATGTACGAAAACATCATGAGATTAACGGCCATGCAGCTGCTCTGCAATAGTCGCGACACAGCACGCACATAATCGCGCGATCACTGAAATGAAGAAACTATAACTTGCACCACAATGTAGTAAACCCAATAAACCGAAGAACGCGACAAAACGAACACTAAGCAACCTTTGGGGTCGGCGGCAGAGGCGGCAGCCTTTAAATAAAAATCGCCAAAACAAACAACAAAATAGTCCAATATGGTCAATACTCAGGCTCCAAGAGGCTCCCAAGGGGCCCCCAAACTGCCTCCCAGAGGCCTTCGGGAACGCTCGGAAGAGACCCCACGAAGCACCCCTGAGGACTCGCATTAGCGTCGTCGTCGCTACCGCCGCCGCCGTCGTCGTTCCCCTTCAGGGACGAGTCCTGGAGCTCAGAAAGGCCTCTGGACGAGTGAAGATTGCCCCGAGACGTCTTCAAGACAGTTCAAGAAAACGCTGAATCGCCGAACGATCTGTGCAAGACGCCTTCGCAGCATCTGGACGGCCCCATAGGCCTGCAAAACGGCGCAAAATGCCTCCAGGCGCAATCCCACGAAGGCCCCAACAAGCAAAATCCTTCGATTCTCGTCCGTTTTCCAAATTCTTGCGTTCTCGTTTCATTCGCTCCCCGAAGCTCCCAGACAACCCCACAGACCCCCAAGATCGCCCCGAGAAGCCTCCAACAGAGTCCTAAAACGGTCCACGAGGGCCCCATTACGGGCCACAACGCCCCCAGCCCCAAGGCCCTCAAGCCTCGAAGAGGCCCCACACTGCCCCCCAGCGGCCCACGAGAGCGTTCGAAACACACCCCAGCACTCATTCCTCAGGACTCTCACCCACGCCAGAGTCTTCCCAGGCGGCCGAAAAAGATTCCAAGGACATCTCCTGGTAGGCCCGAAGAAAGGACAATATTTTCCAATGCTTCTCGAGGTTCGCTCCTTGTTGGCCTGCAGACGGCCCGAGACGGCTCAAGAAGCCCCCGAGATCGCCCCAGGAGAGCCCAAACCGCCTCCACGATGGCCCCAAGACAGCCCGAGAGGGCCCCAAGACGGCCACACGACGGCTCTAAGACCTGCCAGATGGCCGCCACGCTGGCCAAGATTCCCCCAAAATGGCTTTCAAAGAGTCTTCAAGAGGGACACGATGGCCCCAAAAGAGCGATGGCTCCAAGACGACACCCAAGATGGCCTCAAGGCGGCCCAAGAAGCCATCAAAACCGCCCAAGAGAGCTCCACAACGATCCTCCAGAAGGCCCGAAGGAGCAAACATCACCGATTGCCTAAACAGCTTTTGAACTATTCTCGCTGTGAAAATCCGTCCGCTTAAGGCGGCCCTAGAAGCCTCTAAGATTGCTCCGAAATGGCCCAAAAGACCCCCGAAATGACCCAAGAGGCCTCCAAGACGGCATCAAGACAGGCCTTAGATGGCCCAGGACCGCACCAAAAGAGCCCCAAACTAGCCCACGTAGACCTTCGGATCGGAGGAATCCAAGACGGCCCAGGAAGGCCACCCAGACCGCCAAGATGGCCCAAGACAGCCCAAGAGGGCTCCAACAGAGCCCTCTGGAGTACCCGAAAAGACACATATCAGCAATCTCCTTAATCTATTGAAAGGTTTTTGCTTCGGGCTTCCGTTAGCTCAAGACGGCACAAGAAGCTCCCACTATTGCGCCAAGACAGCCCAGGAGAGCCCAAAATTGTCCAGGAGGCCTCCAAGAGTGCCTCGAGAGGGCGCAAGAGGAGCCCTGGACGGCCCAAGACGGCCTCAAGAGAGCCCCACCCAGTCCCAAGAAAGCCTCTGGCCTCCCCCTCTTCCTCCTCCTCCTCCTCCTCCTCCTCCTCCTCCTCCTCCTCCTCCTCCTCCTCCTCCTCCTCCTCCTCGGGGGGGAGGGGGGGAGGGGGTCTGGCTCCAGACCTCTGCTTCGTGCGACTGTTTGCGACAGAGCGTCCTGTGGGGGGAGGCTCCACCCGCTCGAAACAGGCGCCAAAAAACAGCGAAGATCTACTCCATGGGGGGAGAGGGGGGTTTTGGGGGCCCGCGCCGATCAGCAGAACAATCAATAAAAAACAATCACCTACTCGGGAGGCCTGCTGAGGCCAGCTGGGATTTTACGGGGGGGCTGCCTGTGCGCAAACCGAAGCTTCCTTAACAGAGGCAACTGCTTTTTCCCTCGGCATATGGGCCGCTGAGGCACTGTTTCGGGCCCGAGGTCTTGGAAAAGCCGGTCCCTGGGAACAGGCTGAGGGCGCGGGGGGCCCGCGTCGCGAAAGAGCAGTGGTGTCGGAGGTGGAAAGGACTGGCTGGGGCAATGACGCTCCCTTGGCACCGTCGAACGTGACCCCCGCGCTCTCGTGCACGTGGCCGCAGACGAGGAATGCTGGTCGTATCCTGTCCTGGACCTCCGCAGGGAGAGCACGAAGCGCACATGCACGACGATGTAATGAAAGAGGTACGAGGAGGGAGGAGGATGAGGATGAGGATGAGGATGAGGATGATGATGATGATGATGATGATGATGATGATGATGATGATGATGATGATGATGATGATGATGATGATGATGTTGATGATGATGATGATGATGATGATGATGATGATGATGATGATGATGAGGATGCATACTGCCAAGCACACGTGCCTACACACCCGAAGCAGTTGGCAGGTTACGCCCTCGTGGGCGAGCACGACCACGGCTCCCGACACCATCGATGCGCGGCATTCCGCGAGCTTCGAGCTCCATCGATCCGGAATCTCCCGGAGCGGGGCGCACACCCTGCTGTGGGCCTGCAGGACGCCCCAGCGTGATACTGAAGCACAGCTACATTGCAAACCAATGACACCAGAGGAAAGCCCAATCAGTGGACGGCTTTCGCTGAGGAGACCGGCCAAGAACCCGGGAGCCCGGGAACCCCAAACCCACGCCCGGAACCCATAGCCGGGAACCCCGGAACCCGGAACCGGGAACCCGGGAGCCCAGCCTGCTCCCAGAATCGGCGGGAAACGTTCGCCAAATCTGTCAACTTCCGCTATAGGACCCCTTCAGTGCAAGCACGGATTGGAGAACCCCCCCAGACCTCGCGCAACAAGTCCGCGCAGCCCACCCTCTTCCACGACGGCAGGCACCCGTCGCCGCGCCCCAGCGCGGGGCCGTGCACCATCAGCACGTCCACGCCGGCGGGCACGGCGCGCCACTTCTCGAGGATCGCCTCCCCGCGCGGCAGGTTGAAGGCCCAGAAGCCGAACTCGGGCTGCCACGGGCTGCCTCATCAGGGAAACAGCAGTAGCATGAAGATAACAACTTTCGGAGCTCCGCGCGGAGTTCTCGGCTCGGCGCAGGGGCGGCGCCAGAGGCACCGCCAGGGGGGGCCCAGGGATCCAAGAGATCCTCGCTCAGCTCCGAAAGTTTACGTTCATGCAAATGTTCCTTCTTCGACTGCCGTAGATTCGCACGCCGCACACGCTGCACTCCTCTGGGGCAATCAAAAGATACCGATCCCGCTGCTCCCCAAACCTAGGGTGCGTTCTGACCGGCATCTCAAGGCGAATCCAAACGTGACGACGAGGGCCGTCCGGAAGGCATCCAAAGGCGAAAACGAAGCAAAAGTAAGCGGCCTTCTGTCTCGAATGGACTCCCCCCGCGGCGACTCCAACGGCGAATCCGGTTCAAAATTGATAGGAACTGCTGTCGGTCTTTGCACACATTCGTTCCGTAACCATTTCGATCGTACCGAGCGGTATTGGTACCTCTTCCTCCGCGGATCCTCGTCTTCCAGGTATCTCACGCCGCGCTCCTCGCCGCCACAAGCGGCGGCGAAGGCGGCACGGACCTTGTCGGAGTCCGCGCCCCTGTCCGTGCTGCCTTGGTGCCCACCGTACGTCCTGTCCATCCCCAGGTCGTGGTTGCCGGCGATGACGATCTTGTGCGCGTAAGGCAGCTCCTTGTAGAGAGCACAAAATCCACCCTCATAATAAGCACCCCGATAAGCGAAGCCGTGTAGTAAACGCACCGAAAGAAAGGAATAGAACTGGGCAGGGGTAAACCCCCAGGGCCGTTGAGTAAACGCCAATGTTCGGTGTCGGGGTGTTTTTTCCTCCCTTGGCCTTGGGGGGCGTAATCAGGCACAGGGCATTGGATGAGGAAGCCTGAGGCAAGGAATCCTGGGTCCCGAAGCCCGTGGAACTCGAACTGAGGCTTGGCCATGGATAATTATCATCGCCGCCCTCATCAGACAAGCAAGCCTCTAAGGTCTGAAGCCTCCTGGGCACATTCCTACACTAACCCCCCACCGTACCGATACCGCTGCTCCGTGGACCTCTCCTGGGGTGCGCTCTGGCCAGAGCCTCGAGGAGAATCCGGCCGTGGCTGCGACAAAGGCCTCCCGGGAGGCCCAAACTGTCCCAAACGAGGGAAGGGTAGCGGTAACCCCAGACATCGGATGTCGAGATTCGTGGCTCCCCAGACGCCTCGATCCCCGCCCCAGGGCCAGCTTCTCATGCGGAGTTGTTGTTTTTGATGGTCCCAGGGCCCGATGAGTGCCCCCGGAGGCCGAACATTAGCAAGGAGCCTTCCCAGCGCGAGGCTGCCAAGGTCGGTGCCCTTTTCCTCTTCTGAGTGGGGAAATCAAAAGGTACCGATACCGCTGCTCCCGGGACCTCTCCTGGGGTGCGTTCTGACCAGGATCTCGAGGCGAATCCAGCGGTGGCGACGAGGGCCTCCCAGGCCCAAAGAGGGAAAAACTGGCGGGGTGTAGAGCTATGGGTACCTTTTCCTCCTCTGACTGAGGTCCCGGAGCCACGCGGCGAAGTCTGTCACCTCCTCGAGGCCGCCCGACATGGTGAAGTCGCCCGCGTGCAGCAGGACGTCGCCCTCGGGCAGCTTTCGCGTGAGCTCCCGGTGGTGGCCGTGGGTGTCCGAGACGCACACGAAGCGCAGGGATCCGGCGCTCTTAGGGGGCGAGGAGCCCTCTCTTCGAAGAAGAAAAAACCTGGGAGGCAACTGCGGGGGGGTCTTCGTCGGAAGCACTGCGGAGGATGAAACACATTTGCGGGGCTGCTGCGCCAGATCAGGCCGCGGTTGAAGCGGGATCAGGCCGGACGAAACCGGAATTCGGGCCAGGGCGAACTCAGAAGTTAAACCTCCCAGGAGTTGCATCCGAGAGGGCCGACGTGAACACAAGATTTCGGAGCGCGGCGCTGATTCCTAGGTGATGGGCCCCCCCCTGGCCGCGCCTCTGCCGCCGCCCCTGGCGCCGCTCCGCGCGGAGCTTCTGAAGTTTCTGTTTCAGCATTGTTTTCTTCTTCGATCTCTGCCGTCCGCGACGAAGACGCGGCCCGCGGGCGGCAAAAACGACTGGGAGTCCTTCATGTCCCGCCACTGCTTCCCGAGCTCGTCCTCTGCCTCTCTCGGGTCAGACGGGGGGGTAGCAAAGGGATGATTCAGCGATCGGACCACTTGCTGCTGTAAGGGCACGGCGCAGGTTCTCAGGGTCGTTCTGTGGTGGGCACATGGGCTAGCCTTCTTGGAATCGGAGGTGACTTTCTGTGCACACTGCAACACCCAATCGCTGGGCATCCCAGACACCCGACGCCGTGTTGTGTTCACATCGTGGCTCCCCAAAGGTCTGGACCGCTTCCCCGGGAGCGCCTTTACACCCCGAACCGTTACTTGACCGTCCAAGGGCCTGGCGAGGGCCCCCGGAGGCCCAACACTGGCAGAAACCTCCCGCCGCGATCGCTTCGCAGCGAGAAGACGTCAGGCTCCGTCCCGCGCCTCGACCGACGCCCCGGTCTCGAGCACCCCCCCCTGCTCCAGCACGAAGCGCAGGTGCTCGAGCCTCAGCCCAGCCTCTGCGCCAGGCGCTGCTGCCGCAGCGCCCTCGGGGGCTCGGCGCCGCGCGAGGCTGTCGTAGGCCTCGGCGGAGGAGCACAGCGGCATGCGATAGTCGGCGATGAGGCTGACGTAGTCCTCGAAGCGCAGGGCGCCCTGCTTGCTCGAATCGTACATCGCCAGCCACCGCCTCAGGATGACGTCGACGGCGCGCTCGTCGACGAAGAACCGCACGTGGTCGTGCCCGCTCGTCACCTCCACGATGCCGGCGTCCAGCACGAGCTTCTGGAAGTCGTAGAACTTGATCTTGTTGTGGGCCTCCGCGCCCATGTCCATGTCGAACAGGTCATTCCCCCGGAACAAGATCTCCGAGGCGCTCGGCTGAGACCGGCTCTTGAGAAACACCTCCCGCGCCTCTCCGAAAGCCCAAACTGAGTATGGAAAGGATGGGCACGATGCCTAACAGCGAATGCTGTCCAAAACCGAGATCGGCCGTTGTTGAGCAGGCGACATCTTGTCTCAAGCGGACTACGTCCGTCGCGACGCCGACAGCGAATCCTCTTCAGCATGGTCAAGAACTTGTGGAGTCCCAAACCCGGATAGCAGGGCGCCCGAAGGGTGTGGAACGGCCTGGCGAAGAACTCTGGAAGGACCTGGAGAGAGCTTCCGAAGGACCTTCTGGAGAGCTTATGGGCACGCGTTTCGGGAAACGCTAAGACAAGGCCTCTCGGGACACGCTGCAAGATCAAGCAACTCGTAGCGAGGATTTTTTTCTGGAAGCCGGAACGACCTCTGGGGCTACCCTGCGGCCCTGGCTTCTTAATTTGAAACCCTCTTAGCTCTCTGCGAACTATCGGGGAACTGTTGTCGATCTGCATCCCCGCTGCTTTCTTGCGAATTTCGGCCGTGCAGAGCCTCGCTCTCGCTGCTGCTGAAGAGCCCGGTGCGCCGGCAGAAGCTCACGAAGTCCTCCAGCGACACCTCCCGCGGAAGAAGAAACAAGTGCAGTGGCATAAACTTCGGTCGGGCATGTCCCCCTACATGGGGATGTTGTCATAGTCAATCATATTCAAAATGCTCAAACAGTCGTCCCCGTAGTATTTTTCGACCATTTCTGAATATTCCGCCTGTAGAGGGACGGGCACGACCTAAGCACAAATTTTCGGAGGTCCGCGCGGATTCCTTAGACCTGCGCTGGGCCCCCCTGGCGGCGCGTCTGGCGCCGCCCGTTGCGCGCTCCGCGTTCCAGGGAGGGGGGCCCAACGCCGGTCCAAGAAAAACATACAGATTTCTCCAAACAACGCTTGCACATAGGGGGTCTAACTTCTGCTCTAAGGACCTGGTCCAGTTGGCCGGTCTGGCGGCTCCGTGCCGGCCGTCGCCGCCTCGTCGCCCGCCTCGTCGCCGCTCGTCGCCTGGGCTTGTGTGACGGTCTGGTGGCGGCTCCATACCTGCCGTCACCGCCCCGTCGCCGCCTCGTCGCCGCCCGTCGCCGTTGCTTCGCCGTCGCCGTCGCGTTGCGGTGCTTTGCGCTGCATTGTTTTGCGCTTCTCTTTGTTGCTCTGCATTGCTTTGCGCTTCGAAACAAAACATTTCATTCCCTGGCCTTGCTTTGCATTGCTGCGCGTTGCGTTGTTTCACCAAATCGATTGCACCACCCGTTTTGTTTCATATAATTTGCACACCGCAGATTGCACCACGTAGACGGCATAACCTCGATTGCATTAGTTATACAAGTTGCCCAACATCGATTGCGCAGAGTATCTCTTGTTTAAAAAATATCAGGGTATCCCCCCCAGAGTCACTGGTTCCCTCCCTTTTTCGTCTTGCAATTTGCATGTGATCCTGCCCCTCCCTTCGTCCATCCTAGAGCGCATGCCGGCATCGCCCCCTATTTTCTTAAAAAACTATGCGCGCATTCGTTTATCAAACATCATCCGTGTCCCAAGAAATGCAAAACAAATTGACGAAATGCACACGCGCCCGTCGTCGCGAACGCATGCCGGACTCGTTCAAAAACCTTAGGTTTCGCAGACACATATAACAACATATTGTTTCGCAACGCATATTTTCAAACAAAGCTTGCGTTCGGGCTCTTGCGAACTGCTAAGACAACCGTATGTTCTTTGTTTGCGTTTCGTAGCATTCTAACCAACGTGCTTCTCGCGCGCGCATGTCGAAATCGCTAGAAGGCCATTGCGCACGTGCTGTCGCACGAATCCCTGGCAGAAAACAAGTCGAATTGCGCGCGCGTCGTCGCGCGTGCGCGTGCGGGAACATTTTCAAAACGTGTTAAACCACATGGTTGTGCAACGTATTAAAACCAACTTCAAAATCGAGAATCAAGAAAACATACTAACCCACATGGTTGCGCAACGTCTGTATTCAAAAAAACTTGCGTTCGCGCTCCTGCGAAGTCTTAAGACAACCATTGGATTGACAACCTTTGTTCATACAATTCTGCCAGAACGGGCCTCTCGCGCCGCAAGTCCAAATCATTCGGACGCCTTTGCGCGCGTGCCGGGGGGTGGGACACGGTCCGTGTCAAATGAAACCATGTGGGATACTCTCGCGCGTCGGCCGCGCGTGCATGTCGAACTTTTCCCCAAACTTTCACCATAGACGCGAGGACGCCGTCATCGTCGTCGGCGCGATCCGCATCGGCGCAATCATTGGCATTGCCGTCGTCGCTGCCATAATCGCCACCAACGTCGCTAGTATCATCCTCGTGTCTACCGTCGCCGACGATCCCATGATGCCGCTCCCGCCCAGGTAACCGACTCGTACTGAATAGCCCGCTGGGAACTGCCCAGCGGTCAGCGTCACCGCGGCCGCGTCGGTCGTGCGAAATTAGCTGGACACTGCGCGCACGAGCATGCGCGGGCTAGCGCGGCCGCACAAATGCACCAGCCAACACCAAGCGCTCATCGCAATCGCCGCCGCATGGGTTTTGCAAACCCAGCTGCGGGAGGGTGAGTGGGATAATTACGTGAGCAGCGGAATTGACAGCTCACTGCCCTCCCCCCCTCGGACTTATCGATTCCCCAGGGACCCTTGCCAAACACATATGATTCTGACCCAATGTCCGTCCTACCTGTGAAATGATACTATCCCAGCCAGGCCAGTCTCGGTACCCCCTCGGTTCCCTTGCAAAAACATACTATGCGCGCGCACTCGTTTATCAACACTAAGGAGTTTCCAAAAAAGTCCCTTGCAGCAAATCAGACGAAGTGCAAACGCGCGAGTCGTCGCGCGCGCAGGCCGAAATCCTTCAAAAACCTTCGGTTTCGGAGGGGGTTCAAAATCGAGTGTCCAATAAACACGTTTCCTATAAAAGGGTTCCGCAACACACATGTTCAACAAAAGCGTGCGCGCTCTTGCGAATTCTTGAAACAAGCAATTTATTTCTTAAGCTTTATCATCACATGCTACCAAAGGGACTTCGCGCGCGCATGTCGAAATCGTTCGACCGCCCTTTCGCGCGTGCTAGGGTGGCACGACCCGCGTCAAATGAAACCATGCGAGCCACTGTCGCGCGTCTGCCGCGCGCGCATTTCCGATTCTATCCAAAACCTTCATCACCGACGCGAAGACGCCGTCATCGTCGTCGGCGTGATCAGCATCGGCACCGTCACTGGTTGCCCCGTCGTCGCTGTCAGCATCGTCACCAGCATCGCTACTATCATCATCGTGTCTGCAGTTGTCGACGTTGCCATGATACCGCGCCCGCCCAAGTCGCCGACTCGCACTGAAGTGCCAGCTGGGATGTGCCCAGCGGTCACTGCCACCGCGTTCGCGTCGGTCGCGCCAAACTAGTTGGCCGCTGCGCGCGCGAGCATGCGCGGCCGCAGAGATGCACCAGCCAACACCCAGCACTCATCGCAATCTGTCCACAGCACTGTGAATTCGGCAAGTGAATTCCACAGCACAGACTGCACCAGCAGATAGAATGCCAGAAACACGCTGTGTGGAGCCCACATTGGCTAGCATTTTCTGTCTCGAACCCCTCGCCATGAAGGAACGCGGGCCCGAAGGATGCGGGCCCTGGGCCCGGGGACTGTCCTCAGGACCAGTTCCTCATCTTAGGTTTAGGTCGGGCATGTCCCCCTACAGGGTGATTTTGGCGGACAGAATGAAACATACTTAAACATACGCACAAAAATATAAAACATTGTCAACACATCGTCCCCATATTATTTGTTTGACTCTTGTCGAATATTCCTCCTGTAGAGGGACAGGCCCAACTTCATCCTAGGTAGACTTTTTACGGCCCATAGGCCCAAAAGAGGTCCCCAGCGGCCCGAAATCGACGCAGCATCTTCAGGACCCGCTTCCCTGGAGGCCTCCTAAATTCAGGTCGGGCATGTCCTCCTACAGGCGGATTTTGGAGGGGAGGGGAAATGCCAAACACATGCTCAAAACAAATACAACAAACGTCCCCCGACTATTTTGTGATTGTTTTTGAATTTTCCTCCTCTAGAGGGACAGGCTCGACTTAAAAATAGGGTTGGAGTAGATGGGGCCGAGGGTCGATCGCATCGCAGATGCAGCGCCGATGCGACGGCGGCGATGCATCGGCGCTGTCGGCGTTGAGAAAATCGCGGGCTCCACACCGAGCCGCATTTCGCTGGTGGACAAACCTCCCTTTAGTAAACCACCCTTTAGTGAAAACGGCCTAGGACCAAAACCGAATCTGGACCCGCCAAATGACGGCCGCGACGCCCTCGCGCGAACCGAAACCGGCCAATTCGCTGATCGACGTGTCAGGGTGGGAGGTCTATCAACCTCCGAGCATTCCCGATGCATCGGCGATGCGGAGCGATCCTTCGACCCCATCTTGGACCCCATCTGGGCGGCCTAAATCCCTCCTCGAAATCAAACGCAAGTTTTTCCCGCGCTGTGGCGGCGCCCCAGGACCCCAAAACTTCAATGTTCGCGCCGAAATCGGCGGCTGTAAACACAGAAATCGGACCCCGCGGGCGGCGCTTGGCGAGTCGATCAGTATCAAAAATTAGCGTTTGATTTCGAGGAGGGTTGTAGATTCTTGCCACGACACCTCCCCGCTGCCGTCCGCGTCCGCGTCCGCGAACAGCGCGTCCAGGGCGTGCAGCAGCCCGAAGGGCGCGCGGAGCCCCGAGGGGGGCTCGGGCAGCCGGTCGGCGAACCTCACGCGCGGCGCCGCCGAGGCGGAGGAGCCGCCGACGATCATCCGCGCCTTGGCGTTGAATCGGCGGCGAGCAAGGGGGAGAGATGAGAAGGAGAAGGCCTTCTCAGAATGCGGCGGGACTTCTCAGAAGCCATCGCGCCTTCTGAGAAGTTTTTGTGTCTTCGGGGAGGGCTTGGAAAACTTCTCAGAAGGCCGGGGGACTTCCGAGTCTTCTGAGAAGGGCCGCCCCGTCTCACTTCCCCCCCTGGCCCGCCGCCGATCGAAGGTGGCGGGGGGGTCTGCTCTGGATGAGCCCCGAGAGCCCAGACCTCCAACGCTTTGATAACCATCAGCTCGCCATCGCTCGGACGTCCATTCCCCGTGCGCTTGTCGGCTTCGTGCCTGTGATTTCTTTTTTCGCCAGCTGGTCCGGGATGCTCCTCAGCGGTCCTCGCCGGGGGAGAATGCGCACTTCCAAGCGATGCCGAGGATCTGCGCTGGATGGGCCCCGAGAGCCCAGGCCTCCAGCGCACTCACAGCCGTCACGGCGAACTTGTTTCGTTATGCGCGTCCTCGTGCCAGCGGGACCGTTCCGAAGCGGCTCGGGATGAGAAACTCGGCCTCGGGGAATGGGTGCGGACTTCCTGGGACCGCGCCTGGACAAAAATCAAGACGTCGGATGTCTGCGCTGCAGGGCCCCACTCTCCGACGATACGATTCTTCAGTCCCGGCGTGTTTCTTCGATTGCGGCCCCTTGAGCCCGCTATCCGGGCCCAGGACCAGCAAACTCAGACTCGGGATGCAAAACCGGCCCCTGGGAACGTATTGGAGCAAGTGGGTCATAGGTTTAGGCCAGGCAGGTCCCCCTACGGGCGGATTTTGGCAGAAAAGTTAAAAATGCACAAAACAATACGAGCACAACTACTCGACGATGCTACAAAAATCGTCCCCAGACTATTTTGTTGACTATTTCTGAATTCTCCTCCTGTGGAGGGACAGGCCCGACTTCATCATAGGGTGTCTGGGACACTCTGCCAGGATGGGGTGGGGGCGAGTGCAGATCCGCTCGAAGACAGGCCCTGGGAGGGGTCGAAACGCACCATTCTGTCGAGCCGCGTCCAGCCGTGGCGTCGAGGGGCCCCCTTTCTCCTGCCTGTCTGCTGGCTGGGGCCCCTGCCATCCGCCGCTATGATTTGCCCCATCCGCGGCCCCCAGAGGTCCCGACCGCTTCCCTGGGAATCGTTTTTAGAGGCCTCCTAAATGGGGTCGGAGGAGCTGGAGTCGCAAGATCGCGCCCGATGTATCGGCGATGCGCCGGCGATGCATCGTCGACGTGGGCGATGCCTCGGCAACGTCGATGTGAAGGAAATCGGGCTCCACATCGAGCCGCATCGGCGATGTATCGGCGATGCATCGGCGATGCGGCGCGATCCTCCGATCGAATGCGCTCCGACCCTATCTAGGAGGCCTAACGTTTTTCCTCCTGGATCAATTTTTGCGGGCCCCGTGGCCAGAAAGCGGCTTCGGAGGCCTGCAATCCACGAACACTCTTAGGCTGAAAAGGTAGCATCGTCAGAGATCTGGTGCCAGCGCTGTGCCACCTCAGCTCCCCCAGCTGGCTCCAGCCTTGACGTACTCCTCGAGCTCCCAGTCCTCGGAGGCGCCAACAACTGCGCGCGACCAGCGGAGATGGACGGGGTAAAACTGCTCCCACTTTCAGGGATTCATCGAAGGAAAGACGACAATCACGAAGGAGCCAGGGAGAGCAGGAGGAAAACGAACCATGACTGCACCGACCGTGCAGACGTGCTGCAGCGAATTGTTGTACGAATTTCTGCCCATGCAAAACCCCCAAACGGCGAGTTAAACACGAAGTGAATTTCGCGTGGATTTTTAGTCTTCATTCCCGGCCAAAAGAATCCGCGCGAAATTCACCTCGCAATCCGGGACGACATTCTCCAGGACACTCCGAGACCATCCGATCGTTCTCCGAACGAAATCCGCTCTGCGATGTTGGTGCCATGACACGAGGGAGCCAGGGAGAGCAGGAGGAAAACGAACCAGTAACAGCCAGCAACAGCCACTACCATCAGGTCGGGCGTGTCCCCCTAAAGGCGGATTTTGGCCAACATATAAAACTAAGCAAAGATACGCCAGACATGCCCCAAACCACCCGTAAACGTACTTCTGAACAAGTATTCAACCAATACGTCAACAGCTATTCAAACATACGCCCAGCATAACCAAACGACGATTCTCAGTTTGGCAATGTTTGAACAGTCCCCCTGCAGAGGCACAGGCCCGGCTTGACACTACCCAGTCCTCGACGCCGCCGCCCAGCGGCGCCGCGCCCTTCGACCCGGCCCTCCGCACCACGTAGGCGGCGCCGCCCACCAGCTCGCAGTGCTCCACCGCGGGGTGCTCGCGCAGGTGCTGCAGCGGGGGCGGCACCTCTGCAGGCAGCGCGGGCAGAGCAGCCCCTCCTCCTCCCCCTCCTCCCCCTCCTCCTCCTCCTCCTCCTCCTCCTCCTCCTCCTCCTCCTCCTCCTCCTCCTCCTCCTCCCCCTTCTCAGACACCCGCGCAGGTGCTGCAGCGGGGGCGGCACCTCTGCACGCAGCACGGGCAGAACGATCCCAGACTTGGGGGCGAGCGAGGGGGGAAGTGAGAAGGAGAAGGCCCTCTCAGAAGGCGGCGGGACTTCTCAGCATCCCTCGCGCCTTCTGAAAGTTTTTTTTTGTCTTCGGGGAAGGCTCAGGAAACTTTCCAGAAGGCCTTCTGAGAAGGCCCGCTCCTTCTTACTTCCCCCCCTCGCCCGCCGCCTGCGCCGCTGCAGCGGGGGCGGCACCTCTGCAGGCAACATGGGCAGAACAGGCGCAGACACTTTTTCTCCGTCGGCGGCGAGGCGGCGAACCCCGCTCCGGCGAGAAGCTAGAATGGGCTCTCACTAGCGAGTTGGCCGGCGGGCAAAGAGAGGGGGGGGGACGGCCGAGAGGGAGAAGGGACGCCCAGACGCCGAAGAGACCTGCGATGAGCAGCCGGGGGGGGGGGGCAACGGCAGCCAGGCGCGCAGGGCCAGAGCGTGGTGGGCGGCCGTGGTGAGCCACGGTGACACGGGTGGCGGGAGGGCGGCAGCCAGCGTCTGGAGCTGGCGGGCGGGCGCAGTGGGACGAACGGCAGAGGTATATAACAGCCCCAGACACCCGCGCCGTGAAGCAACAGCTCTCCCGTCGACGGCGAGGCAGACCGGCTGCACCAGCGATGGAGCTAAGCGGGGGCCGCCGCGAAGCGAACTGCCCGTGGCGTGCAGGAGAGGGGAGGCTGAGGCAGACGAGGCGGCCGCGGACGGGGAAGGAGGAACGGTGGCACTCAGAGGCGGAAGCCGTGAAACAAAAACACGACGGACGGTTTTTGCCTGTCTTGTCTTATGTTGCTCCCACCGTACTTACGGACCACATCCAAGAAATAATTCCTAGCGCCCGGAAAAGTGTCGAAACAGTGTCGAAACAGTGTCGGACGAGTGTCTCCCAGGGCCCGACACGTGAAAACCCTCGAGTTTCGGTACTTGTTTGGTGCTCGAATACTTTCTGGTGGCCAAGGCTAAAGTGGGTTGGAACATAATCTTGTGGGGCTCTGGGGACACCCCCTGGCGGCGCGCAGTGGAGGGGAGGGGGGGGCTTCTCAGAAGCCTTCCCCCCTCCCCCTACCCCACTCTGCGCGTGGCCAAAAATCAGCCTGGCGAAGGACCCAACCACATGCAGTTGTGAATGCCGTCGCTGTTAGTATCGCCTTCGGTGGATCTCCTTAGTATCGCCTTCGGTGGAGGGAAGGGGGGAGGCTTCTGAGAAGGAGGCTGCTTAGAGGGCGCCAGCCATGCATCTATAGCTGAGGCCGACGCCTTCTAAGAGACAGCCTGCTGCTGAGAAGCCTTCCCCCCTCCCCCAGGCCCCCCTCTTCGCGTGGCCCAAAAAACACGACGGACAGTTCTTGACTGTCTTGAGACCGTCGAACAGCTCCCCAGGATGAGAAAAGCCAGCCCTGGGGAATGGGTCCAGATCTCTCGGGGCCGACGCTGCGAACAAATCACGACACCCGGGGTCTGGGACGGGTACTGGTTCTGGACAGGCAAAAGAATCCCCCCCCCCGGAGAAGCCTCGGCTCCGGCTGCCGACCCTTCCGCTTCTCATACTTGGGTGGCGATGGGTGCCGTCTCGCCGTCCTGTGACTCGCAGCTCGCAGCACCCATCCCCACCTAGAGGGGGCACACTCGGATCGGGGGCAGGCCAACCTCGAATTCGGTGAACTCGAGTTGGCCTGACTGGGCCGCAAGAGAAATGGCTGGACCTCATCTGCACTGTTGCGCGAGCCGCCGCTGCAAACATGTCGCTGAAGCTGGGCCGTCAAATTCCGATCCGCACTTGTGATCATCGCGAATCGATCCAGCTCCATTGAACGCCGCAGCAAGTTTTGGGTCATGGCTCCAAGTCGTAATTTTTCTCGCTGCTGTATGTTTGTTGTTGCGACGTCGGATCTCAGAGTCCTCCGAATCTCGCGACCGAAATCCGCTTCACATGCCCCCCCCCCCGGGCTCCTCCATCCACGCCTTGGTCCGACGTCTCGTCCCGTATCGATTCTGAGGGCCCTGCGGTGCCAGAGCAGCGGCTCGAGACGCCGAGAAGCCTCGATCCTCGGGCCCCCGGGCCCCCGACGTCACGATTGTTTCACAACGTGGACCCCTGGAGGTCTCGGCCCTTTCCCTGGGACTGGCTTTTCGTCCTAGCTCATCTGTCGTGGACGGCCCCCCGCGGCACATCGGTGGCCCCCCGAAGCCGACAAGATGGAAAGAACGACGCCCGCGTCATGCTCTTTCACGACGCGAAGGGGCCTGGGGACTCTCCTCCCGCCTCCTCCTTCTCCTCCTCCTCCTCCTCCTCCTCCCTCCTCCTCCTCCTCCTCCTCGCCCGTCTCCTCCTCCTCCTCCTCCTCCTCCTCCTCCTCCTCCTCCTCCTCCTCCTCCTCCGCCCACTCTTCGTCCGTCCTCCTCCTCCTCCTCCTCCTCCTCCTCCTCTCCTCCTCCTCTCTTCCTCCTCTCCTCCTCTCCTCCTCCTCCTCCTCCTCCTCGCCGATTCCTCCTCTTCCTACTCCTCCTCCTCCTCCTTTCTTCTTCTTCTCCTCCTCCTCCTCCTCCTCCTCCTCCTCCTACTCCGCTTCCTCCTCCTCCTCCTCCTTCTCCTCCTCCTCCTCCTCCTCTTCGAGCTGTCCTCTCTCCGAGCCTCCGCGTCCGACCGGGCGCAGAGCTCCCGGAGGCCCGGCCGGCCGTGCGGCGCGCCGCCTCGGCAGGGAGCGGGTTAGGGGCCCTCGGGGGGAAGGGGTCCTGGACAACTGGGGTCAGTAGGAGCGCGTTTCTTTATTATCGGCGATAGTGGGCATTATAGGGGGGTGGGGGGGAGGGGCCCGGGAGGGGCCCGGGGGGCCGTGTGCCCGATGCGCACGGCGGCAGTGCCTGAAGCGCACTCGGGGGGGGGAGGGGCGTTACGTTATTGGGGGGTGGAGGGGAGGGGGGGCTGGGGGCTATAATGCCCACTATGCCCCAAGCAATAAAGAAACACGCTCTAGGTGGCGACATCCGAACCCTACCCCCGCCAACCATCGATTTTGCTCAATCGATGAAGGAGGTGTGGGTAGGGTTCGAATTTCTCCACGTGTCCGACGAACTCCGAACCCCATCCCTGCCGCCCACTGAGATGCCTGAACCGTTGATCGGCGAGGGTAGGCTTCGGATTTCGCCGCCGAGTCAGAAGAGGGGTGGTGCCCTTGGATCACCGCGGGGGGGGCTCAGGGGATGGGGGTTTCTACAAGACGTAGCCAAGACGGGGATGACATCGGGAACAAGACAGATCGAAGACCTCTGAGATCCAGCGGTTCTGAACGCTGTCGGGCGCCGCGGCCTTCTCAGAGCGTTCCGGAACGCTCTGAGAGCGTTCTGGCACGCTCTGGAACGGATTTGTCCTCGTCCTAGCCCCTTCTGCATATAAGTGGATGCTGAAGGGCTTGTGTATATGGCCTAACACAGCCCGTATAGAAGGAGTTAGGTATGCCCAAGTGGCTCAGGGGGGTACAGGGTCTGAGCCGGGTGGGCTTCGCCCATGGGTGGAGTTATCGAATCCACCCAAACAACTCGACGCATATGACACCAACTCATAAGCTAGGTTACACCAGTAATCCGCCTTAGCGTCCACTTGTGACCCTCCTATCTCATTGCAGCTCCTGCGGTGATCCAAATAAAAGGGAGTTTGTGAATCAACTCACCTAGCTTTAGGTCGGGCATGTCCTCCTACAGGTGGATTTTGGGCGAAACCTTAAAACATATTCCAAAAAGACCCAAACATAGTCAAACATAGTAGAAAAATCGTCCCCAGACTATTTTCTGACTATATTTGAACATTCCTCCTGTAGAGGGACAGGTCCGACCGAAACCCAGCTGACTTTCCTGGTGCCTCCCGGCGCCAGAGGCGCCAGTGCGTCGAGGCGGGCGCTCTGCGGCGGGGCGCAAAAAAACAGCTGCGCGCAGCAGTTTTCGCAAGCCCCAATCCCACCCAATTCGTCCGACCCGACCTCCGGGGCCTTCCCCCAGACCAGCCTTGTATCCCCAGTCGTGCCCCGCCAGCCCCAGGCGTTCGCAAGCGCTCCCAGGCGCTCCCAGGCGCTCCAAGCGTTCCCAGGCGCCCCCAAGTGCTGCCAAGCGTTCCCAAGCGCTCCCAAGCGCTCCCTGGCGCTCCAGGGCCTGGAGCGCCAGGGAGCGCCTGGGAGCGCCTGGAGTCCAGGCGCTCCCAGGCGCTCCAAAGCGCCCCGCAGCATCCCCAGGCGTTCCCGGGCGCTCCAAGAGTTCCCAGACGCTCCCAGGTGCTCCCAAGGGCCGAAAAGAACGAAAAACTTGACCCCGATCCACCAGGACCCACCTTCTTCGTGCCCAGCTCTCCAACGATTCATTTGTGGTCCAAGCTCGCGACCAGACAGCTCCCGACACATCCCGACCCGAGGCCTCCACGGAGCCCAGAAGGGACCAGACACGCCTAGGAGGGCTGCCGCTGCCTCGGCTGGCCCTGAGGTCCTCCCTCACGAGAAATACCGCGTGCGGCATCTTCCGCGTCGGCTCGATCCGCCAGGGTCCTGGGTCCCTGCTACGGTGGGCGATCTCTGTCCTCGCTCAGCTTGTAAGTGGGTGGCGAGTATCCTTGGTGGCCTAGGCCTGGGGAGGAGACAACTCTCTGCCCACTTCGCCCGGATCTCTACCCACCCAGAGCCACTGAAGGCACTTGCAACCCGCTTACCAGCTAGATTGGGCCGGCCATACTCCAAATTAGCGCCCGCTTGTAACCCCCATCCTCCGCTGTGATTCCCCCTGCGATCCGACGTTGCGCATCAATTGAAACATCGCGAAAAATCACGACCGA